TTACCATGCAAAAAATTCAATTATCTCATAATTATATTATTCTTTGGCCCAAATTTAAAATCTTGTCACTTCATAAATCAAGCCCAATCTGTACTACATTATTTTCATAATATGGGTTCATGAATTATTCTATCTATCTTATTACACGACAAGTTGTGCATATAACGAACAACTGCGGAGTTTACTAACATATATATATAGATAAGTTTTCATACATTTATCGATTTAATGAATTAATACTAAAATTAGAGAATTCTTTTCCAGCAGTGAAGGAAGCAGAGCTTTAGCTGGGATTTAGGAAAAGCTACTTCCTCAAAGAGTAAACAAAAGAGATGTGAATTTATTAATGAATAATAATTATTGCACAACACATGCATTCACAAGAATGTATAAATAATTAAATCTAGTCATCCGACTAGTTATATGATCACGCGGGCAGTCACACAAATGGCACAACAACAGCACTCACAATTATTAACATCTTCACATAATCACATCACGTGAAAATTAGTCTGTCGCGTCACTGAAACCCCCGATGAGCCGTCCTCCCACATGGCCCATCCTCTCATGACGTGACACATGCATTCACAAGAATGTATAAATTAATAAATCTAAGTCATCGACTAGTTTATAATGATCAGCGGGCAAGTCACAACAAATGGCACACACAGCACTCACAATTATTAACATCTTCACATATCACATCACGGTGAAAAATTAGTCTGTCGCGTCACTGAAGACCCCCGATGAGCGTCCTCAGCCACATGGCCCATCCTCTCATGACGTGTGCACTAGGACTGAATCCCCATAGACATGGCTGACCGGCTAATCCTCACTTGAACCAACCTCTCATTATTTTTCCCATTCTCTCTTTTCTTTCGTACCAACAGGAGGCCACCCTGTGATTTTCTATAGTCCGTATCATATCAATCAGATGCACACTGGGGCGCCGATCTCCCCATAACATGGCCGATGGTATCAAAGAACCGCCCTCAACAAATGCCATGCCCTCACAAATCCATGGTGACCCACTTCATCCCAATTCCACACAAACAAAGCATAACATTATCACAACACAATTAATCAAGCATTGCAATTAAATACAAGCATGTCAACAATTAAATATCATAAGGCAGGTGCGCAATTAGGCATTCATATTCAAATACAATTAATGACATAAGTAACAAATAATATTATATACAAAAATTTACTCTTTGATAAATAAATATACAAATAAATAACAATACAAAGAAATAATAATAATAATATAAATAAATGATGAACTTCCTTTTAAATATATACTAAGGTATGGAATTTATCTAAATATACCTATTAACTTATTTGTTGTATGTGAATAGCCTAGATCTTGTCGAGATTTCAGCAGAACCTCCCCTAAAATACGATTAAACCACAATTCAACAATAAATTTTTAAAGCTCATCCATCGGGCAATTCACCATAACTAATTCATTGTTTACATTTTGTCATTCACTAGGATTTCACTCCAATTCAAATTCATTAGTGACGTTGTATACAAATATAATTATTTATCTTTTCATATATACCAAGTAATCAATTCTAGTTAAACTAAATTAACAGTTATCTAATCAATTGACTAAGTCTTTCTAAGATCACGCTACCTGCTATTCCAATAATCTAAGTTCTTGTTATTCAATTATATCTACTTCAATATTCAACTAACCTAGCATAAAGATTACAATATTCTAAATGACTTAGTTTCCTAATTTTTGAAATTAAAACAAGTCTATCTATCGAAGTTCCCTAACAGGAATCGTATTCAATTAACTATTTTAATTTATCAACTGTGTTTTCTCATGCAAAGAATTAAGTGGCCAAGCAGTTCTAATTGTACAATCGGAAACCACACTACGAATCCAACATTTCCAGTCCTTTAATTAACTATTTACTCGAATTGAACTTAATTTACCAATAATTTAAAATTTGGAACTTATACCAAAAATGAGAACTGGGTCTTAGAACATACCATTTGAAAATCGGACTACAGTTCCATGATCAGCACGTAGAATTTGGAACTTATACCAAAAATGAGAACTGGGTCTTAGAACATACCATTTGAAAATCGGACTACAGTTCCATGATCAGCACGTAGAGGAGATGTTTCTGCCTCTTAGGACCTCGCCGGAGTGTTGCCGGACCACCGCGTTAGCGGTGGTCGGAAAATCATTTCTGCCCAAAACTATGCGATTCATACACCTCTGGACTCTAAATTTCACAGGGAGCTCAATTTTGTCGTCCTTTTGTTGAGTTAGTGGCTAGACTGGCCGGAATGGGCATCGACAGCCGCTTGGTGCGCCATTAATGGTGGTTTCACACCTTCCGTGTGAGAGGAGGCCGGAAACATGACCAGCACCTCCAGCCGAGTCGGCCGCCACCTTGCCCTCGTCGAGCGGTGGCCGGAAATGGGGGAAAGAGGAGATGTTGTTACTGGCATTGCGCGAAGAAAAGAAGAAGAAAGGGAAAAAAAAGAAAGAAAGTAGTTCGATTTCTAGATCATTTCGGTTTGATTCGAACCGTTTGGTCTGATTCAACGATCTGATTCGATTTTTGCTTAGTTTACAGGCTTTTCACTTGGTTTTTGGAAATTTCAAATGGGTTCAAGGGTCCAATTAATTTATTTTAATTAATTTAGTACTTAACATCCAATACAGTTCTTAAAAAGTTAGAAAATTTTCGGTTAGGAGTTGCGATACTATTCTTTGGGCTTGGGCCCAACTTGCGAATTGGACACGGACTAAGATTGTGCAGTATCTGCAGCCCACACAGTTCAAAATTTTCAATTTTTGATTTAATAAAAATTCAAAAGTTTCGTAAATAAAATTTCAAGGTGTTTCAGCTTGCCAACCTAGCTAAGGAGAACGAAGCAAGCCAAGTCAAGCCCCGAAGCACACCAAAACACTAAGGTATGGTTTATGAGTCATTTCTATTTTAATTCAAGGATCTAAATTAAGGATTCTTCTTAAATTAATCAACTTGATAACTAAAGCAAAAAAAAAAAAACAAAAAAAACATGATAAAAGAGGAATAAAAAATTATTTTTTTCAAATTATTCAACCAACCTATCTCGAAATGGGTAGAACTACACGATTTTGATTTTCATTTGAAATGATATGCAAGCAGTCTCAATATACAAGATTTTAATTGTGAACCAAGTTACTAAAAATCTCGATTTTTTTCCTCGTTTCTTTTTTCTTTTATTGCTTTGTTTAGGAGATGCACGATCATCTTAAAATCTCCAAAATGAGCTAAAGACATTCTCTTTTTTTATTTTATTTGATTCTTTATAGCTTTCTTTACCACTTTTTTTTATCGCTCTATATTATCACCATACATAATATTATGCTTCATCTAAAATCTTATTTTTCATGAATAAAGCATTAATCCTAAGGTCAATTTATAAATTGTTTTAAAGAAATCTAGCACTTGAATCTTCATTGGTTTCACAGATTTGTACATTTATCTTTTTTTAAAAAAAATCAGAGTGAAAATTGGTTTTTTTTATTTATGTTTACATTAAAAATAAAATTTAAGTGGCGACTTTTTTAAAAATAAAAAATAAAAAGATTAAATAGGCTCCCTTCATGAATATAACTCAAAATGAGCGTTCTGATTCAATCTCGTGAACTTTGAATGAAGGTTGAGGCCTCATAGTAGTAAGCATGTTTTACTAGCCTACCCTGCCACACTTGAATAACTCAAAATGGTAGTGATTATGGTCGTGATGCTAGTGGCAGTGGTTATAACTTTACGGAATTCAATTGAATCATATGTTTCAAATTATGGCATACTAAACAAGAAAAATTTATTTATAAATAAATTATACTCGAAATTCATTTATAATTTAATTCTGCATTTTAATTTCTTTCAAAGTCAAAACAAATCAAACCATATTCAACGCTTAACACTCATGCATGGGGATGGAAGCGAGGCGGGTTTTCGTGGGTATCCAATCCGCAAAAACTCATTTAAAGTAGGTATGAGTATCAAATCAACTATCCATTGCAGGTTTTGATTGGGTGGATTGGGTATGGATTTAAAGATACAACTACTGTCTACCCAACAAAATCTATTATATAATGTTAAAAAATTTAAGTGCATATTGTACTAAATATTTTATTAAAACTAAAATAAATTAGACTCAAACTCAAAGCTTCAAACCTTAATATCATCAAATAATACCAAAAAAAAAAAATTTAATTACTTCAATAAAATATTAAACGACTAAAATTATAAAATTGTCATTCATTCGTACTTTTTCCTTTTCTAATCCCACCCTCTATTATCATCTCCATCTTTCAAGACCCTGTTCGGCAGCAGCGTTTGAAGTAGTATTTAGTGTTTTGATAGGGTTGAAATATTATCTTAATTAATTATAACGTTCATTAATACAGTATCTACCAGACAATATATTATGAAATGTATTTTTATTAACGTTTAACGTTTTATAATTTATTATGACACATATACTTCTACTTGTCTTTAACTTGTTCCTCGCTTTCATATCTTTTTCGTTATTTTATATTAAACAGATAATCAAACAGTTATTTATTCTAAATACTTTTATTTTAAACCACTATATAATTATTAACTACTAGTAAAATGACAGCTATTCAAACGGCTAACAGTTATTAAAATAACTAAATTTATTGCACAGACTCCAAGTTTAACCAATATCAATTATAATGGACTCGGTGAGATAAGAGTGATTTTCATTGGTATTATATTCATCTCAATCCACCTAAAGCGATTTTGTACATTAGTTAAATGGGTGTAAGTATTAAGATTTTTTAAACAGGTGTAGTATGAATATTTTCACAAAAGTTCTTAAATGAATTTGGGATAGATAAATTTTAAACGAGTTTGGAACGGACATGAAAATTAAACTGTACAAATTTTGTGGAAAAATGAAAATGGAATGCGCAAAAGGTACATCCGTAAAAGGAATACAAAAAGAGAATATCTGATCACAAAGTGCCCTCAATTTCCCACCTCAAATTCTCAATGTCTTGACCAACACAGACAGACAAAACAAACCATCTCCTTGTTCTTTTTCCTCTTCTTCTTCTCAGAGAATGGACTTCCACCTTCAAAGCACTGCTTCTCTGCTGCAATTACAGAGCGACACTATCATTCTCAATTGATATGTCACCGCCACCACCGCCGCAACCAAATCCAATCATTAGCACCCATAAACCCACAAATTTTCCTGATTTCTTTGTCACTGCTATTTCTATCTTCTTTCTCTTCTCCTCTTCCTCCTCCAAGCCTCCCTTTCCCAAAATCCCATTTCTTTGTTTCCCATCAAACCCTCGTCGTTTCCTCAAAATTCCCTCCATGTCCATCTCCAAAACCAATCATCATTTCGCCACCCCACAATCTCTTTCCGATTGGCTCAAGCCGCGATTGCCGTCTGATTCTTTAGCCTCATGGGGCGTAAGACCCGGCACCAAGAACGTCCATAACCTCTGGCTCGAGCTATCTGAAGGTGAAACCTCCCTTGCCGACTCCACCCCTCCAATCCGTACTGTTAGTGTGGTTTCAGTTCGAATTATAGGAAAAGACGATCAAATTCTTGTTGAATCGCGTCAAGAATTATCAGATGGTAGCGTGAGGAATCGGTGTAGACCCTTATCGGAGAAAATGAAACCGAATGAAACCCCTGAAGCCGCTGTCTATCGCGCTATTAAAGAAGAGCTTGGATCGATAGTGAATGATAGTGGAACTATAAAGATTGTGCCTGGTTCATATAAAGAGAAGATTGAGGAAAGGAATTCAAATTCGTATCCGGGCTTGCCTGCCCGTTATGTGTTACATTCTATGGATGTGATGGTGGATGGATTACCTGAAGAAGAGTTTTGTACAGAGGAGGTGGAGGAGTATCCTGATTCTGAAGAAAAGAGAGCTGCAGATAAAGCTGTTTCTGTTAAGAAACATTTCTGGAAATGGGTTAGTTCTGATTCGGTTCAACCTTGATATATGGCAATATGATTTTTCAGCTTTCAGTACATTGTTGCAATTTTGAGTTGTACGCTACCTTTATCGTTATGTTGCTTTTTGTATGATTATATAATGCATTGAGACTGTGAGACGCTGAGAAATCAGTGTACTGTTTTAACATGTATGAAGGTTAATATTATAGAGTTAAATATAGGAACTACAGATTTCTATTCATTGTCTCCAACTTGCAATTGGAAAGTTAATATGTTGCAACACAATTCTCAAATTCATTTCTCCTTTGTATATTTGGATTGTGATGATAGTCTTGTTTCATTCTGATTACTGGTTCTTGAATTTCTCAAACAGACAGACCTCTGTTTATGTACCTCTGGCCATTGTAGCTTTCACAAATCTAGACTAAGGCAATGTAATTTGTTTCTTCAGTGAAATGAGAAGATTATGGTGGTAATTCAATGTATCAGGGTGCTGGCGAGTGGGTTTTGAGTCCTACTGTTGGCTGCAAATGAGCTGAAGGTAAATAGCAGTCATATATTGTAAGGTTAGGACTGAAGGTTGTACAGTGTAAGGTTAGGGACTAAAGGTTGTAACTGTGAGGCAAATTAATGTTATATTGCAATTTCTCAATAGCTGTGGTATTCTTGTCTCTGGCAACAGCTTTCGGTCCAGCAACAGTTACTAGAGTGCAGACTAGTTTCCTGATAGTGTTTTCCTATTGCTTTAGCGTCTAACGGTGTACAAGGATTTCCTTATTTCACAACTAATTATCTGTCTTTCTATACATCTGTCAGGACTTAGTGCTCACTCAGCTATTCTTAGGTGAGTCACAAAAGGATTATCGGTAGCTTCTAACCCACATAATCACCCATCAGAAAGCTAGCAGTTGTATGTGATTTCATGTCCAATTTAATGCTTATGTGCGTGTCCATGACAAATAGGAAATTGGAACAGAGAATAGTGACTGCAGTCTGATACTGTAACTAAAATAAAAGCCTTAAATATCAGTTTGTGGTTTCTTCTTTCACTGGAAGTTGGACCATTGGAAGATTTTGTATTGAATTGGCTTGATTGGATATTGTACTCTATAGTATAATTCTTGTAAGATCCAATTCAGTAACTTACATACATGGATGAAAGCCAGTGGGAAAGGTATTTTCAGGAAAAGGAAAGACTCCTGTAGTCATAGTAAGATAATCCTTAGAGTGGAGGGATTGATGTGGAAATTTCTTTCATGGGAAAGCAAGCAACTAAGTCCTTCCTATTTTGATTCTTCTTCTTCTTCTTTGAATCTCTCTCTTTTAATTTTCCATTGTGCATATAAAACAACAAAAGAAGACAATTGAGGAACCAAAAGATGAAATGGTCTTGATGGGGTGATGACAGTCTACCCAAAGATTAATCAGGCTTTGTACACTTGAATGATAATTAAATGTTGATTAATATTATGATCTATGATGATTATTGCTGGAAAATATCAGGTGGCATGGCAAATTGGCAATATACTATAATGGATGTGGAGACAGAACCTCTATGGTGTGAGATTAGAATTTCTATTTGCAGGACCATCTGATTTTCTGTAGCAAGCTGTTAAATGGTATGTTCTGTGGCAAATAGATTTCTTTCCACTCGAGTTTCCTGGGATTTGGACTTCAATGTGGATGATTTTGAAATTTGGTAAGGCAATACTTCTCCAATAGCATTATTGCTAGTTAGTCCTGCATGGTGTTTTTCTTTTTATTTTGATACCTATTCAGATTTGTGCAGAAATCCCTTCTTAGACAGCTAACTTCAACTCCTTAAATGTTTGTCTAAAAGCATGCTTCTTCCTCATGATTTGTAGGTTCTCGGATATCCAGTGGTTACTTCTTACCAATTTGTGCATGAAATTTTCTCAAGGAAAAAATGTTACATGTTAAAGACCTTTTGCTTTCTCATGTCATGGCTTTGTCGTCAACTCTATTTGTTAACAGGTTGTCCATGCTCCCACTGTCACCTTGTCCATCTTCACCTTTCAACCCTGTTAAAGCAAAATTCTTTTTAGTTGTTGAACTCAACTTATACATCAATTATACATTGAGTAGAAAAGGAAATGTCATTAAAGTTAATTGAGACGTTTAAGAGAAAAATAGCTTTTTGAGATAATGGTGCAAAAGGCTGTTTGCTTTTGAAAATTTTGGTACCAAAGAGAAAACGTCAAAGCAAGTAATGTTAAAACCAAGCAATGTTTTATGTTTGGACAAGATTACCCTGTACTTTTTAAGGCCGTGTTGTTTAGCCTTTTGAATAATGTTAACCTTTTATGGTTTAGCTTTAGCTTTTTAATAAAAAATTATTTTAAAAAGTTAAATATTATTAAAACTGTTAAAAATTAAAAAATAGCTAATTTTACCGATCACACTTTAAAAAATTCATTTTTTACAGATTTAAATTGCTCCCAAAAGGAATAACAATGTTAATCTGAAAAACATAAAATATTCAACCGTGTTGGAGAATCAATCTCGAATGCTTAATCACGCGTTTAGAAAAATGAATAAAATATTGGAAAATTAAAATCAAATGATTTCAGGCGTGGATTCGATTTGCCAAACAGCTGTTGAATTGGCCATGATCAGATCAGGGAAATAAAGAGAAGAGTAGTGAGATTGCATAAACTGAAGTGGGTTTATTTGATTTATAAAGCTTAAGATTGGACTTTGGATAGTGGCTTTATGAACAAGTTTTATTGTTTTAAAAATATTTGGACTTTTTGGTTGAAAAGTATAGAGGGTAATTGCGTCTTAATATCAAAAGTTGCTCCGACATATTGTTATTTTCTATCCTTGTGTTTGGTTAACGAAGGAAAATAATAAAGGAAAGAAAATAAATTTATTTTTCTTTGTTTGAAAAAAGCAAAATTGTAGAGGAAAAAAATTATTAATATTGATATCTTACTATTTTAACCTCACTTATTCTTTTAGAAGACTTCGATATCTTCAATATTTAATTAAAAAAGTAGTTTGAGCATTTTAGTAATTGCATAAAAATTAGAGAAACTTCAATATTCCATCTCTCCTAAATAGAGAGATTCTATCTATGTGAGATAGAGAGAAAAACAAATTAATTTTTCATTCCTTCATTATTTTTTCTTCTTTTCCAAACAAGATAAAATTGCTTTCCAAAACTATTTTAGTCAGTTATTTTGATTCCTTCAAAAAATACCTCCATCCAATCAGAATATAAAGATCTGTTCAGAAAAACTAACTATTTTGGTAGCTGTTAGCTGTTTTAATAATGTTTACCTTGCAGTTGTTTGAGTAGCGTTTCATTAAACGTATTTTATAAAATGCTAAAAACTAAAAGTTACACATATTAATTTTTATAAAACGGTACCTTAGTCTCTGAAAGTTAGTTTAAATGTTATGTTATCGAATACTATAAAAAAATAATGTTTAGGGTTTTGACCGGGTAGTTATAAAACTGTTGTCGAACACAACCTAAAAACTATTAAAGATAGCGTTTAGCGTTTTAACTGGAACTTGAAAAACTAATGCTACTTAAAAAGTGATTGCCGAACACAACCTAGACATTGAAACCTTGAATTGGCTGGGGCAACTTTTACCTTTTGTTTGGATGAGTATATTTTTTTAAAGGAAAATAACTAGGGAAAATATTTAGGGAAAGTTATTTTCCACCGAAGTCCACATGTTTTGAATCTCTACCAATTGGAGAGAAAATAATGGAGGAAATAACAATGAAATTTCACTCATTTTTATTAAATTATCTAAATATCCCAAATCAATTAATAAAATTTAACCATTTCTTACATAGCCCATAAATTAAATGACAATATAATTGTCAATTTTCAATAATAACATTTATTTTTCGTTAAAACTTTTCCCTTTCCAAATAAAAGAAAATAAATTATTTTCTTTCTTTTGTTATATCCAAACACAAACGTGTAGGAAAAGAAGTTGACAATTCCTCATTATTTTTCTTATTATTTTCTTTCATTATTTTCTTTCCTCAAATATTTTCATTCCTTTCCTTTCCATACAAAGGGTTAGGTTTTTAAACCCCTGAATCAATGGTATATTCAATTTCAATTCAAATCCAATTTCATCTATTGGTATATGCATATGTTGGAAGAAGTGTGAGGAAAGATTCTTGAAATATAATATAAAGTTTAAGAGGGACCCAGACCCAGAAGTTGTACCTAGCAGCATAGCAACTTGTGTTTTCGCTGTAATCATTAAAGAGCTGAGATATGACATGGAAATTTTATCCTTGGCAAAGTAAGCAACTAATTTCCACCTTTTCTCTTCAGAATCTCTTTTTACCATTATGTCTTTCTTTCTACTTGGAAAACAATTCAAATTTTGATGAACCATGAGTAAACAATTTTTAGAGTAACAATTGAAATTTTAAGCTCTGTTTAATGATCCGTAACAGTATGTAATGTTCACAGTAATATTTACACTAAAAATATATTAAATTACATTATATTCCATTACCAACTTTTTTGCTTGCTTTGTTAAAGGAATTGACAGGGCAATTTCTAATTATATATACTTAAAATTTTGAAAAAGATGAAATCCGCCTTAATTTTCCACCGCATCACCATTTACATGCAAAGAAAAATCAGAAGTTGTAATGATAAGAAATAAAAAGAGAAGATCGGATTTACACTCTCAATCCCAAACAAGGCCTTAATTATTAATCAAGCTTTCCCTTGGCACTGGCTAAACTATAATTATAGAATTTTCTATCTCATCACTTGTTATAATTAATTTACAGAACTTAATTAAGAGCAGCAGAAACACACACAAGTAACCATAACATAGGAAGCAGAAAGAAGCAATGAACTCACTAGCTGCTTAGTATCTGTTAGTAAAATATCAATTCAAACTGTAGTAGAACATTGAGTCCCTTGCCTTGAACTCAAGGGTCCGGTAGGGAAAGAAGGTCCAAAACCCATAACAGCAACACAATTAACATTAAGCCTATATCGACCAGAAACCCATGTCCCAACCTTCCACCGGAGGCTTCCATTTACTTTTAAAATAAGAACAAGTTTTCCGGTAGTCTGGTCGCGTCCGACTTCGTATCCGAACGATGAAGCAACCGGTAGTCCTGTTCCAATCAAAGATGCAGTCAAGAGGTTGCTGTCTTGATGTCCTTGGTAGAATGGAGGAAGAGTAGAACCCACAGTTATTTGCTGACCCTTGTAGGCTGCGTAGACTTGTAATTCGTCGTAGTAAATGCCTACTTTTTCATTAGGATTTTTGGAAAGAAGGGTAAGTTGGATTGAAGAGTTGAGAAGGTTAAGGCCTGAGAGGTTGAGTTGGTAGATGTCAGCTTCTTTGAGTGAGAACTCAGGTTTTGCTGGACGTAGTATAAGCCAAATGATTAGTATTAGAGATAGGATTGATGTGAAAAATGCAGAGAAGGCAAAGAATAGCTTCTTGTAGAGCTTGTCTACGTTTAGTCCTTTCTTAGCACAGTGTTTTGGAGATTCTATATGGACTTGAGACATTTGCAGTAGGGGCAGAGAGAGAGAAAGAGAGGGGGACGAGAAAGTAAGAGGAAGTTTACAAGGCTAAGGAAGAAGAAAATGGTGGGTTAAATAAAGAAAAAGCACTGGGGCAACAGAAAGCAGCAATAATTGTTTTTGCTCTTTCTCATGCTTTATTTATTTATTGGCAATGTTACTCCTCTCACAATGGATTTTACAAACTTATAAGATTTGATTTTAACTTGTAAGCTTCTCCAGTCACCCCATTGTGTCGTAACTATCGTGTTGTCTTAGGACTCAAGGAGTGGACATAATTAGGGTCAAATTGAAAAATCGAACCAACCGATCAATTTGATTGGATTAAAAAGAAAGTATGTAATTTGGTTTTGGTTTTTATGGACAAATCAGATTTGATTTTTATTATATAAAACTGAAAAACCTAAAACCCTACAAATTAAGTGAAAAAAAAAACAAAACTTGTTTGATTCTTTTTGGCTACATAAAGAGTATATTTCGATTCAATTTTTTTTATACGATTTATTCAATTTAGTTCAACCAGATCGACTAAATGTCCATTCTTATTCATTGTGTCAAAGAATATTTAAATGATTTTCAATATATTTACACGACATCTATACTATACAAATGTGGGAATAGGAGACAATAATGAGATTTTTTATAGCTCCCTTAATGAAATTAGGACATTCTAAAATAACATTATTCATAGCCAATTAGAAAATTACGTTTTATTAGTTGATTGGATATTTATAAAAATTATTTTTAAAACCAATCATATGTGATCTGTCTTCTCACTTATGTGAGAAATGAGAGGTCTCAAGTTCGAATCCTCTCAACCATAAGTATTTTCACTAATTTGGTGAATGAAAGGTTATTTTCACCAATTATTTTTTAAATAAATATATAAAAATAATTAATCATTTCAAAATTTTAAATTTTTTTTCACCATTAGTTTTAAATAAATATATAAAATAATGAAGTCATTTCAAAAATTTTAAATTTTATCTTTACTAAATTTATTTTTTTAATAAAATATATATGATAACGAGACATTGAAAATTATTATATTTATTTATAAAATATTTAATTTTTTTAGGATATAAATAAAAAAGAAAAGAAAATATATTATTGTTATTAATATTCTTTTTTCATTTGTCTGATTTGATTGGATATATTTTTAAGAAAATAAATTTCAAAAAAGAGTACTATAATATTTTATTTAGGAGAGAGATAAAAAAATAAGACAAAAAAGTATATTATTTTTATTAATATTTTTTTTCTTTATGTTTTGTAAGATTTGATTGGATATATTTTTTATAAAAGTAAATTTTGAAATAAAAATTTAGATAATTAAACCTGAGGATGGGTAAACAGTGAAAAATTTCTTAATTTAAAAAAAAATATATAATATTTTATTGATATATCTATATACATTGAAACGTTTTTTTGTTAGGTGAGTTTTGAAAGAATTTTATACTTAATAATAATTTTTATTTTTTTCATCACTAAATAATTTGTAACTACTGTCATTTTAATTTAGTAAGAGATTAAATATCTTCCTTGCAATAAATAGATGACCTATTGATAATTAAGCATTTTTAATTTTCTTATTATTTTTTCTTTTCTATCCTAAATCTGTTTGACTTATAAAAAATAATATTTAGGAAACTGGAAAAAAACTAGAACTATATATTTCTGTTCCAGTCACTTTGAGGTTTCAAGAATTTATGTGTATGTGCAAATATTACTTTCTCTGATACACTGAATAAGTAATACTGCGACTGTAGCCAACGTGATTTTCGTTATCAATTCATATCATCTTCTCATTTCTTTTCTTTTACCTAGCAATACAAAATAAGTTATTATTATTTTTCATTATAGTTGTATATGGACATTCATTTGGGATTAAAGGCAGAGAGTTGAAGATTGAATGATGGCTCGATTAGGGGCTAAAGGATTAGGTCTAAGAATTGTATGGAACTTTTTTCTGAGACCCCTTCATTATATAAAAATATAATTAAGTACATAAGAAGTAACATTACAAGTAATTTGTACGATAAAGTGTAAACAAATTAACCATTTGTATTTATTTTAATCTAAACAAAACTTATGATTTAATATTATATAGATACCAAAATAGTATATAATGAGCATAGTCAACTTTTAATCTAAACAAAACTTATGATTTAATATTATATAGATACCAAAATAGTATATAATGAGCATAGTCAACGTGCAATACACGTCATACAAAGGACTAGTATATATAAAAGTGCAAAAAGTGAATAAATAAATAGAGAAAATAAATATAAAAAATTTTAAAAAATGAATAAATATTACTACACCTAGCACAAATCTTAAATCCATGTTTGTAAAGTCAAGTGATACATGGACATGCTCCTGCTGCTTTTCCTGAATTAGACAGACCAGATAGTGTGTGAGATGCACAAGCACACAGCAAAGACTATAAGGTTAAGCTTTCACAACAGAACAATGAATTCCTTTAGCATTTACATTTACTTGCATTTGTAATTATAGGAATTCATGTGAAGGTTTATGCTTACGTTTATTTTCATAAAATAAAATGCAAAAAAATATTTTTTATAATTTTTTGTTGTTTGGCGTGTTAAGAAAAATAAGTCAATGGAAACTATTTTTCCGATTAAAGGAAAATGACTTTCCATTTTTAAGGAGAAATACATTTTCTGTAGATTGAGAAACTTATTAGAACCTTAAAAATTCATATTTTTTAATTTATTGATCATCAGTAGCCACTACAACCAATCACCGTTCACCACCAACTACCACCACTGGCCACCGTCAGCCACCGCCACACATGATTTTCATAATTAATTATTTCTTCATATTTAATAATAAAATTTCTATTGTTATTTATATTTTTATAGTCTTATGAGTTAAAAATTTTAATATTTTTTAATTAATTTTCAATACTGCAACCAAACAATGAAAAATAAGTCATTTGAAAAATATTTTTCAAGGAAAACATTTTCTTTGAAAAATATTTTTCAAAGCTAAATTATTTTACGAAAATAAACGGAACCTTAGAGCAATTTGATATTGCAAGAAACCAATATCTAAGATGCATCTTAATTATTTTTTGATGATATTCACACTCAGATTTCATTTCTGTTAGGGTTAATAATTATTGAATTCTTAAGATTCACTTAATTTGGAAGATACAACTTCTATTTTTTAAGTCAATTAATCTCTCTTTCTCAATTAGAGAATTATATGTCTCATATACATAACCCTTCTAGGGTAATGAGGGAATTTCCAAATATTAAATAGTCAACATTCAACTACTCTTTAGCACATTCTCACTCTTTTCCTGATTTCATTCAGTCAATTAATTTTTTTGTTAATTTTTTCAATAATCAAAGTCAAAAAGCAAACTAACTGTAAAAAATTTTAAAGATGAATTCATTATTATTTATACCGTACCCAAATTTTCATCCTTTTCAGCTGCAATTGTTGTAGGTGAGAGCGTGTTGATCGATTCATGTCGAGAGGCTGTTGATTGATCAGCTGGTAATTGTTGTTTGTGGAGACTTTTTCCTCTGGAGATAATTGAATCTGGAGATTAAATCTTAGACATGACTGAGCTAAATGCTTGATCTTCACATGTTCTTGGATTCATTAATAAGAAAAGAACTTCTAAACGATTGATTTGACTTAATGGATCTCACTAATAAGAAATGATCGTATAAGTGATGAGTTTGATTATTTTGCAGTTTCTACCTAAATGGGCTTATTGCGTAGATAACCGGACCTGAAGGATGAATTTTATGTTGAGCGCTTCTCTAATATGACATAATTAATTGAATCTGGAAGCCCTTGCTTATTTAACATTACATTCAGATACGGGTGAGCATTAAATAGTTTAAATCTTGAAACCAAACCAAACTGCATCAAACCACCTAGTTTAAATGGTTTATTATTTTAAACGGTTTGATTTGGTTTATAATTTAATAAACCGCTTCAGAATAATTTGGTTTGATTTTCATTTTATTAAACCATTTAAAATTGGATCAAACTGCACTAATATTCTATGATGTCATTGTGTTATTAATTTAATTGTTATATATTTTATCTAATTTGAAACTTTGAAAATACCCGTTGTGAACATGACAATTTCTTTTTGACGTTATTTCTTATATTCTTAATGCTATAGTATTGAAAGAAATTTATTTGTTTATAAATAATTTCTTATTGGTAGGTTACAATTTGGTGGATCATGAATATTAATTATGTATAATCTTATTATTTTTGAAAATTTAAATTGTAAACATTGATATTTTATTTTACATGTTATACTTTATGTTATCTGATCACCTTTTTACTAGTTATATTTTTTACTTATGTTATATATTATATATTATATATCATGTATGAATTATGATTAATTATGAGTTATATTACATATTATGTTGTCCAATTATGATTAAAATAATATTAAATTATTTTAAGGGTATGAAGCTGTAAACCAGGCCGCACCAAATTGCTTTTTGCAGTTTGATTTAGTTTAATTTCATTGATTAAATAATTTGGTTTAGATTGAAAAATCTATAAACCGGAATTATGGTTTGATTCGAATTTTTTTTTAAACCGCACCAAATCAAACCATACTCACCCTTACACTCGGATGCATGTCTAAGTGGACATGTTACCCTCCGTAGCCGCGCCCACCTATTATCAAATACTACTATAAAATAAAATAAAATAAAATAAAATTTAATTTAATTTGTCTTTTTTCTTTCCAATTTTAACCATTGAGCTGTGTACCCCAAACAATGCAAAACGATAGAGCCACCTATACTCGTATTCTTACCTACAAAAAACTTTAACTTTTAATAAAATATAATAATGTAAGTAAATTGAAAGTTAGTTTTTAAAAGGATGAAAAACGCTGAGTGTGTTAGTTGTTGTTTAATTATGTGGTTGCAGAAAACTATAATTCACCTGATCTGCTTCTGCTTGCACAAAAAGGAAGCGCACATAGAGACTTGGCAGCGGAGCTTGGTTTTTAATGAGGGCCGAGAGAAGAGAAATATGATGGAGAGCAGAGGCCATCACGTGGGCTCGAACTTAAATACGCATGGACCCATCACCACGCGGGGTCCGTCCACCAATCTTTCCA